CTTCAAGCATGCTTACCTCTCCACACATCCTGGTGTCATCAGCAAACTTGGACAACTTGTTTTCCACCCCCTTGTCCAAGTCACTGATGAAGATGTTGAACAGTGTAGGCCCCAGGACTGAGCCCTGGGGGACCCTACTATTCATATCCCGCCAGGTCGAGTACAACCCGTCCACCACCACTCTCTGGGTGTGCCCCATCAGCCAATTTTTGACCCATCCAACTGTGTAGGCATCAATGCCACAGTCATTCAATTTATTAAGGAGAATAGGGTGAGAGACAGTGTCAAAGGCCTTCTTAAAGTTTTCACTATTTCCAATTCCATTACACTTTTCTTACCCTTGTAATATATCAGTGTGTCTTTGCCTCCAGTCTGACATGTGTTTCTCTCTTTCACTGCCCTCTCCTTCCTTGTATTACTCACTCTGTAACACTGGGTCTCAACCTCCTTAGATTCAAGTCACCCCTCTGAAAAATGCCACTTTAAAAAAAAAGTTTTCACCCATTTTTTGACTAGGAAATAATAATATAGTAATTATTCTGTTGCAAAAAACTCAGAAAGACCATAACAGGTGAGAATGTTTTTGACACTGTGGGTTCCCATTTGAAATTTCTGGGCACATCTTGTAAATCATGTGTAGGTCTTTGCATACATAACAGTGCCAATATTACACAGCACCCCTCTGCATGGCATCCTTAAAAGGATCGTTCAGAAGCCGAGTGTCATGACACCCTATCTGAGAATTGCTGCTCTATACTGCACTACCTGTCTACAAAAAGATCTTGTTTATTCACATCACATTTCTTTTCCAATTTCTCTTCATCAATTCTCACCACTCTCTCCCAACCACTCAGTCCTAGGACTCAGAAACTAGACCCGAAATCTAGAAGCCACAGAACTAAGCCTATTAGAGAAAGTGATTTTGAAGATGGGAACATAGTAAAAAGCCTACCTTTGTTCTAGTTATTGGGAAAAGAGAGGGCAAAATCCCTCTACAATGAGTATGGACTGATTCTTTGGAATCACCCCCTGAATAGTACAGGTTGGAAAGCTGAAAATCCAGTTCTGCAACAAGGAAGAAATACTCTACCCACCCTCCCACTCTCAAACTTTCTGGCTGCGGTGGATCTTTTAGGCCCAGTGCTCTCCTTAAGCTCTTTCCCCAGGCAACCATAGCAGTGATGAAAATGGACAATATAGTAAATTCTCTCTCTGCTGAAACTGGGGAAAGCTAAACAGAAGCTCTAACAGTTTATCTTTACATTCTGAAAGACAACAATACATAGACCACAGCTCTATGAATAAGCCATAAAAGATACAAAAGATAAAACTATTTACTGCAAATGGCTGCTACTTGACTGGAAGATATTTCACTTGCCCTTTTCTTAGGCATTTGAGCAGTTTGTTATCCAAAGACTGGGAAAGGGAAGCCTGGCACAGAATGCTGCTATGTTCAAAAGAAGATATTTCCCATATCACAGAAGCACTCCTCTCTATCCAATAAACAGGCCAGTACTGCTAGTATGGTGACTGACTGCGGGGGGGGGGGGGGGGCTCTGCCACAAGCCCTCAGAGGCCCTGATCACTGTTGCCAGAACTGGTGAGTATGGGACTTTTATTTTATTTTTAAAGTGCCAAGAGGCTGGGCCAGGTGGGGCAGGGCAACCGTTGGGGGTTTC